TAGAGCTTCATGACAAAATAATTAACCTGTATAAAGAAATTTTAATGTGTTTTTTAAAAAGAAACTATGTTTTACAAACTCCATTAGAACAAATAAATCCTAATAATGGTGATTTTCAATTGGTTGACTCAGAATTATATCATGGAATAGGAGTCATGGATCTGATTAAGGACCCTAAAATTGAAGCTGATAAATTAAGACTGAAGGATTTCTATTAGAGGTAAACATAATTTGTGCTTAAAACAGTTAAAACTATTCAAWGAYATTTGGTAAAACTAACTTAAAAAGTAAATTTGATAATTACATTCTTTCAATTTGTTTTAATAGTTTAAACCCTCTAATTTGGTTTGAATTAAAAATAAAGATAACATTTATCTAGTTACTAAGTCAAAAAGAATATATATTATTATTCCTTTTTATTTTTTGATAAATAATTTTTAAAAACTAATTAAATTAAATTTATGTAAACTATTATCATTTTTATATTTTTCAATTCARTGAACCAAATTTTCATTCAYAAAAATGTCAAAGATTATAAATAAAAAAAAATAGAATTAAAAATCAACACAGAAACATTGTCAAATGTATAATTATTGATGAAATAAGATTTCAATATTACAAATTATTATTTATGAATTATACCTTTGTTTATGTTTAGATGCCGGGATTTTTTTGTTGTTGCAGCAATTGAGATAAAAAAAGCGGTATAACATGGCTGATCTAGTGCTCTCACAATTATTAGTTATGTTAAAACCTCAAAATGCCATTTCCCGTTCATTTAGAGAAACTTCTCCAACATTGTTATCTCTAATGAAATCGTTACCTAGAATAGTATCTGATACACAACAAATGCAATTAATTGATGATGAATGGAGATCACTGCCTATTTAATTCTCAAGTTTGGAGTATGACTTACTACTTAAATTAACAGATCCAAAAACTCAAAGAGTGCCCACTGATTTGTTTTGGTAAGCAATTTAATAACCAATTGACTTTTTTAATGTTACATGACTTATATGTTAAATTATTCTAAATAAATCAAAAAAAAAAAAAAAATTATAAATCTAACCTTTGTATTACAGGAGTTTTGTAAAAAATAGCATTACAGATTGTCAAAATTTAGCTCAATATGTGTTAAATGTTTTGTCTTTACCTCATGCAAATGCTGATTGTGAGCGTGTTTTTTCCACTGTCAACTGTCTTAAAACTAAGTAGCGTCAAAGACTAAATACTGAGACAATCAATGGAATTCTGMATGCAAAACAACATATTAAGGGTGGTCGACAGATAAACAGCAATTGTGTTAAGTTTACTCCTACAGATGATATGCTCAGTAGAATGACCAAAGCTAAACTATATTCCAGTCAAATTAATGAAACTGAAACATCAGTTGTAAGAGATTTATCAATGTTTGATTGATGTTTTTCATTTTTATTGTTGMAAAATGTCCATACATTGTTTTTGTTGTTTCACAAAATAAATAAACACAATATATAAAATATATTTTAGTGATTATTTAATTGTTTTAGTATTCCATGATTGTAGAAATAATATTAATGAAATTAAAAAAAACTTGGTGTTTCTAATAATAATAAATTAGGTACCTACTTAATATCTGATAAATATAAAATTATCATATTAAAGGCCAAACCACTATATAGTCGCCACAATGGAATAGATATTATTACAATAAATTATAATGTTTGTGTTTGAAAGAAATAGCATTCATAGTAATTAATGCTTATCATCATATATTTTTTTTTCATAGGTAACTAACTTAATTACTTAATAAAAGTAAATTGTAAAACATTAAATTCATACATTATAATAAAAAAAAAGATTGGTATAATAATATTTTGTTTATCATTGTCTTAGTTAAAACCGAAAATCTGTTTACTTTTACTATTTGGGTTGTGATAAATTAGAACTGATAACAGAAAACTTGGAAAAAAATTGTAYGATACACATTGGTTCAAATACGATAATTTTATGTACGCGTACGATTATCAATTTTTACAGGTTGGCAACCCTACTTCACAGGTTTGACCCGTTCATTTTGATCCGTTCGTTCGCGTACAACACATCTCTATAACTATGGACGATAAAACGTCCCTGAAGGAACTAGACCAATGGATTGAGCAGCTAAACGAGTGCAAACAGTTGACCGAAAGCCAAGTGAAGTTCCTGTGCGACAAGGTAAATATCTTGGCGGCGCCTCGCCGATACAGCATTGCCGCCGCCGTCGCGCAACGGGTTTGCGCGCGCGCGCGCGCCCGGTTCGGCCATATTGTTTATACGTTTGTAGTGGCCGTCAGCGATCTTGGACCCTGTTCCGCTGATCGGCTGAGGGGCGCGTACCGACCACTATTTTAGTGTCGGCACTTCCATTGCTGACGTTCGTACCTCGCCCAAATTGACCACGTGACCGGGTCTCGTCCTGTCAAGTCTCGTCGGCTCTCGCACGCCGGCCTTAAAACTGCNCAAAATCGATTTTGTCGAAAAATGAGTGTGCGTAAAATTTCCCGTTTTTCCCTTAATTTTTAGTTTGTTTTTCTCAATTATTTAGAAAAGTATTAAGAATTTTTTACTTTTGACYCCCCAATGTACCAACTAGATTCATTTTCTGATCGAACGAGGTACTGAAGTCAAAAATCGAAGCATTTTTACTGCCCCAAAACGTTATGACAGACACAAAAAAAAAAAAACACACATCATGGTAAAATCAATACATTCATCGCTCCGCTCAGAATCTAAAATTACTGTAAATAATTACTTTTATAATAGTGTCTTATTATTTTTAGGCATTTTTATTATCAAATGTAACTGCCACTCGGCTCACTTGTGTACGAGTGAGGCGTGTAAGAAATTGCCGCGGTCGTTAGAGGATATGGCTAGAAATATATTCACTTTTCTTAAGAGCAGTTCCAAAAGACAAGCTGAACTCAAACAATTTCAACTTTTTTTAAATATTGAACCACACAAAATGTTACATCCCTCTCAAACCCGTTGGTTATCTTTGTTGGCTGTTGTTAGTAGAATATTAGAACAGTGGGAAAGYTTAAGGCTTTATTTTACTGACACGTATTTAAGTCAACGTTTAATTGCAACGGAACACATATATCTAGGGTTAAATGAYCCATTTATGAAACTGGGATTTGTATTTCTTAACTGGGCATTGCCATTATTTAYCAAGTAAGAAAACTTTTATATTTTAAAATAATTATATATTGTATGTGTTACTTTTATAGTAGTTAAAATTTTAAATATTTTTCAAATTCTTAGGTTTAACACGTATTTCCAAACAGAAGAAGTAGTAATAWTAGAGCTTCATGACAAAATAATTAACCTGTATAAAGAAATTTTAATGTGTTTTTTAAAAAGAAACTATGTTTTACAAACTCCATTAGAACAAATAAATCCTAATAATGGTGAGTTTCAATTGGTTGACTCAGAATTATATCATGGAATAGGAGTCATGGATCTGATTAAGGACCCTAAAATTGAAGCTGATAAATTAAGACTGAAGGATTTCTATTAGAGGTAAACATAATTTGTGCTTAAAACAGTTAAAACTATTCAATGATATTTGGTAAAACTAACTTAAAAAGTAAATTTGATAATTACATTCTTTCAATTTGTTTTAATAGTTTAAACCCTCTAATTTGGTTTGAATTAAAAATAAAGATAACATTTATCTAGTTACTAAGTCAAAAAGAATATATATTATTATTCCTTTTTATTTTTTGATAAATAATTTTTAAAAACTAATTAAATTAAATTTATGTAAACTATTATCATTTTTATATTTTTCAATTCARTGAACCAAATTTTCATTCAYAAAAATGTCAAAGATTATAAATAAAAAAAAATAGAATTAAAAATCAACACAGAAACATTGTCAAATGTATAATTATTGATGAAATAAGATTTCAATATTACAAATTATTATTTATGAATTATACCTTTGTTTATGTTTAGATGCCGGGATTTTTTTGTTGTTGCAGCAATTGAGATAAAAAAAGCGGTATAACATGGCTGATCTAGTGCTCTCACAATTATTAGTTATGTTAAAACCTCAAAATGCCATTTCCCGTTCATTTAGAGAAACTTCTCCAACATTGTTATCTCTAATGAAATCGTTACCTAGAATAGTATCTGATACACAACAAATGCAATTAATTGATGATGAATGGAGATCACTGCCTATTTAATTCTCAAGTTTGGAGTATGACTTACTACTTAAATTAACAGATCCAAAAACTCAAAGAGTGCCCACTGATTTGTTTTGGTAAGCAATTTAATAACCAATTGACTTTTTTAATGTTACATGACTTATATGTTAAATTATTCTAAATAAATCAAAAAAAAAAAAAAAATTATAAATCTAACCTTTGTATTACAGGAGTTTTGTAAAAAATAGCATTACAGATTGTCAAAATTTAGCTCAATATGTGTTAAATGTTTTGTCTTTACCTCATGCAAATGCTGATTGTGAGCGTGTTTTTTCCACTGTCAACTGTCTTAAAACTAAGTAGCGTCAAAGACTAAATACTGAGACAATCAATGGAATTCTGMATGCAAAACAACATATTAAGGGTGGTCGACAGATAAACAGCAATTGTGTTAAGTTTACTCCTACAGATGATATGCTCAGTAGAATGACCAAAGCTAAACTATATTCCAGTCAAATTAATGAAACTGAAACATCAGTTGTAAGAGATTTATCAATGTTTGATTGATGTTTTTCATTTTTATTGTTGMAAAATGTCCATACATTGTTTTTGTTGTTTCACAAAATAAATAAACACAATATATAAAATATATTTTAGTGATTATTTAATTGTTTTAGTATTCCATGATTGTAGAAATAATATTAATGAAATTAAAA